ATTGTTGATTCTCATTGCTATATAGCATTCCAATATATGAATATACAGTTTATCCATTTTACTTGATGTACTTGTAGATAGTTTTCAGATCGAGACTATCATGCATAGTGAACATTCTAGTATATACCTGTTGTTGAACATATGTACACATTATTTCTAGGTATATTCCTAGAAGTAGAATTGCCAGGTCACTGAGGGGCAGTATTCCCTCTCAGCGAACTTTCTAGGGGTCTGTGGTATAAGAGATACCTTCTACAGTAAAGGATAAATTCTTTTTTAAAAAACCTTTATTTATTTTTTTAATGTGGTGCTGAGGATTGAACCTAGTGCCTCACACATGTTAGGCAAGCACTCTTACCACTGAACCACAACCCCAGCCCAAGGATATGTTCTTGCATCTGGCCCTTCCTAAAATCAAAAAAGAGGCATAATACCTAGTTGGTTTTATAGATTTTGGAGCCAACAGCTATCCCATTTGAGTGTACTACTTCAGCCCATTTACTAAGTGACCTGAAAAGCTGCTAGATTTCACAGGAGGCTCAGGACAAGAGAAGGTTCCACAACTGGTCCAGACTATTGTTTAAGACTCTGGCACTTGCACTATATGGTCCAACAGATCCAATGATGCTTGAAGTGTCTGTGACAGATAGAGATGTTATTTGGAGCCTTTGTCAGGTCTCTATAGTTGAGTCACATCTATAGAGTGTGGATTCTAAGGATTTTGGAATAAAGTCCTGCCATCCTAAATGGGTAACTACTCTCCTTTTGAGAAACAGTGTTTGACATATTAGTTGGCCTTAACCACGGGCCACCAAGTTACCATGTGACTACTATGTGCTATCTGACCCTCTAAGCCCTAAAGTTGGTGTGAAGATCAGGACTTTGTTATCAAATGAAGGTGATATATATATATATATATATATATATATATATATATATATATATATATATATATATAAAAACATTGGGGTTAAACATGTACTGAAGGCACAAGTAAGTTATGTGAAAAAGTAGCCTAAAGTGCCCAAGCCTGTGCTTTAGCTAGGTTACCTTCTCGCTCCCAGCCTGAACTTATGCTGACATGGGGAGTTCTCTAGGATCAGTTAACTAAGGAAGACAAAGCTCAGGTTTGGTTTACAGGTTTTTCTGCCCATCTCTGGGACATATTTCAAAGAAACTGGAGAAGAAAAATTCTCCCAGTGGTTAGAACATTGAGTAGTACATCTGGTTACTTGCTTTGCTGGAAGGAGAAATGGCCAGATGTTAGGTTATATATTCATTTCAGAAATAGTAACCTATGGTTTGGTTGGATGACCAGGAGTTTGGAAGAAGCATGTCTGGAAAATTAGTGACAAGAACATTTGAGAAGAGGCACTGGATAAACCTCTCTGAATGTTCAAAAAAAAGTAAAGATAACTATGTTCCATACAGATGCACACCAAAAGGTGACCTCAGCAGAAGAGGGTTTAAAGAATCAAGTGGTTAGGATAGCCAGTTCTTGGGCTGCAGTTGTGGCTCAATGGTAGAGTGCTTGTCTTGAATGTGTGAGGCACTGGGTTCAATTCTCAGTACCACATATAAATAAAAAAATAAAGGTCCATCAACAACTAAAATAAATAAATAAAATTTAAAAAATAAAAAAAAGGATAGCCAGTTCTTTTGTCTACCAGTCTCTTTCCCCAGCAACTTCTGTCAGAATAAGGATAGTGAAAGAGGCTGACTGAGATTTTCTCTGCTTCACAGCACATAAACTAAGTGGCCATGGTGGCAGGGATGGAAATTTTTTATAGGGCCTACAACACAGACTTCCATTTACCAAGGTCAACCTGGGTACAGTCACTACTCAGTGCCCAATCTGACAGCAGCAGAGACCAACAATGAGTTCCTAATATGGCACTATTTCTTAGAGTGATCAGTCAGTAAACTGGTATCAGGTTGATTATATTTGATAATTTCTATCATGGAAGGGGAAATATTTTGTTTTTACTGAAATAAACACTCCGGATATGGATCCCTCCCACCCCAACAATGCTTCTACCAAAACTACCGCCATGAATTTATGGAATGCCTTACCCACTCTTAGGGTATTACATACAATATTGATTCTGACCAATGAACTACACAGCAAAAGAAGTAAAGAAATTGGTCAATGTTCATGGAATTATCTAGTCCTACTATGTTCCTGAACATGCTAAAGCAGCTAGCCTGATAAGAGCTGTGGAATGGCCTTTCAAAGGTTTATTAATAGCACAGTTAGGTAGCAATAACTTGGAAGACTGGGGCAAAGTTCTCCAAGGGCTGTATTTTCTCATATGGTACACTTTCTCCCGTAGCCAGGAATAAAGGAATGGACATAAAAGTGGTACCACTCATTATTACTCCTGATGACCACTAGAAAAACTTTCTTTCTGTTTCTGTGACTTTATACTTTTCTGGCTTAAAGGTCTTAGTTTCAAAGGGAAAATCCTTTCACCAGGAGACATAGAACTGAAAGTTAAAGACATCCACCAGCCACTTTAGGCTCATAGTCAACAGGCCAATATGGGATTTATACAATTGTATGGGGTGATTGATCTGGACCACTATGGGAAAATTTGATTACTACCTCACAATGGCAATAAGAAAGAACATGTCTGGAATACAGGAGATCCTTCAGAGTGTCTCTTAAGATTACCATGATCTGTGGTTAAGATTAATCCAATGTAGGCAGGACAACTAATGACCCAGACCCATCAAGAATGAAGGACCATAAAGCCCAATCACCTGAAGGCAGTAGGAATATGGAATGGGTAGTGGGATAAATTAGTTAATACCAATTATAATCACATGACTAGTTAAGCAAATATGTTTGTTTTCTTTTTCCTCTTACCATCTTAACATATAACATAAATATATTACCAATAACTTTTAATCACAGTTTTAAAATCATAGGATAGTATAGGATTATCAAAGAGAAGAGTAAACATCACCCAGTGACTTTGGATTCTCTTCTGGGGAAAGGATTATGTAAGGCAGCTGTATCATGTTAGGCAGAAGTATGAGTAAAGTCTTTGCTACTAAAAATTGAGTATGGTTAAGATGTATATGAATGCATATTTGACAAGGGTTGAACTGTAATGGTTACTTGTATAAGACAACTTGGCTAGGCTATTTTACACAACTATTCAATAAAATACTAATTTAAATATTGCTATGAAGTTATGTTATAGATATGGTTAGCATCTATAATATTGATAATGTGGGTAGACCTCATCCAATCAGCTTAAAGGCCTTAAGAGCAAAAGCAAAACTGAGGTTCTTCTGTAAAAGAAATCTGCTTAAAGAATATACCATCAGTTTCTGGAGGAGTTCCAATCTGCCAGCCTATCCTATAATTTTCAGGTTTGTCCAGATAAACCCCATAACCATGTAAGTCAATTCTTTAAAATAAATCTCTTTATATAAACATGTACATTTCTATGTGTATGTATGTATGTATGTATGTATGTATGTGTGTATATATATACACACACACATGCATACATACATACATACAGAGGTGTGTGTGTGTGTGTGTGTGTGTGTTGAGAGTCAGAACAGAACAAAAATTCAGAAGAAAGGCAAATTCACACTCTTACAGAGGTGGGATCCCCATCTATTCCTGGCCTCAGATACCAGAACTCTACATTGACAGACTTTGGGATTTGTACCTGCAGCCCTCAGCTTTTCATGTCTATGGCTGAGAGTTATACCATTGATTCCCTTGGCTGGCAGAACTTCAGACTTTGACTCAGCTACACCACTGGCTTCCCTGATTTTCCAGCTTGCAGATGGCATGTTATAGGGCTTTGTAGCTCTCAAAAGCATGTAAAACAATTCCCATAAATATCCCCTCCTATATACCTATATATTTCTCTATGTATCTATTTCTGTATCTTTCATTACTTCTATCTATCTACTTACCTAACTCCTATTAGTTGTGTTTTTTTTGAGAACCCTAACTAATACAAGTGTATTAAGGGTTCAATTAAGTATCCAAGGAACTTATTAAAAAAGAGAGGTCTCCACTGGGCACAGTGGTGCATGCCTGTAATCCCAGTGACTCAGGAGGCTGAGAGAGGAGGATTGCAAGTTCAAACCCAGCCTCAGCAAGTTAGTGAGGTCCTAGGCAACTCAGTGAGACCCTGTCTCTAATAAAATATAAAAAAGGGCTAGGGATGCAACTCAGTAGGTAAGTACCCCGGGTTTGATCCCTGGTACCGAGAGAGAGAGAGAGAGAGAGAGAGAGAGAGAGAGAGAGAGAGAGAGAGAGAGAGCGATCTCTGTGGACTTAGAAAATGCTCAAAGCAGGTACCGTGGAGGAAATGAGGACAAAAATAAAGAGTGGACAGCCTGGATGAATTGAAGTTCTACATAATACATTAAATTTCAGTTGCTTCACTGGCTGCTTGCTCACAAAAGTTTCCAAAGTTCCATTGAGTAGACACATTCAGGAGAATACAACAAACAAACAAACTAATTTGAAGTTTAAATGCTTCGAAGGATTGAATTCCTCTTCACCAATTGGTAGATCTTAAACAAACTGCAAACACTTTTAGTCTCAGAGTCTTAAATAGGATAACAGTACATATCCTATCAAACCTGAAATAGTGAAAAATAAATGAGATGATAAAGTTCTTAGCATAGGGCCTTTCACAGAGGAAATATTCAACCAATGTTAGGTGAATGTAAAAACTTTTTCATATGCTACTAAAATGAAACCCAAACAACATGAAATTCCAAATTGTTACAAGAGGAAGTGGCCTAGATAAGTCAATGTCATAAGCTAACTTTTTTAAATGTTAAATTATTTGCCTTTAAAAAATATTTTAATCAAGTACCTGACCAGACTTTTGTAATTTTACCATTTGCCTTTTGTTTAAGAACATTCTGATTACAATTTATAACCACTGAAAAAACAATGAAAAAAATTTTTATGTAATCCAGATTATTATATATGCTTTGCATTCAAAGTACAGTACCTTGAGTAATATCTTTAGGAGGAGAATGTTTCTTATTTACAGTATCACCTTTATTTTTCATTTGTCTAGTTCCTGGTGATGCCCTAATAATACAACAAATTTCTGATGTATCTGAAGGAATCTGAAAAGAAAAAAAAAACAGTTATTACATAATTCATCCAGGTACCATTCTTTTGTTACTTTATTTCAAATACAAATAGTCTCAATATCCATATTCCATAGATATTAATAATAGCAAGCATTTATTTAGTGTTTACTCCAGACACTAATTGTTTCAAAAATATTTGCTCACTTAATACAAGACCTTAGCAAGACAGATTGTTATTCCTTTTTTACAATGAAGAAATTTAATTTCAAAGAGACTGGATGACTTATATAATATAGAGAATAAGTAAAGGTGGAGTTGAAATTCAAGCACTCAAAATGGGAAAGTCTGCATGATTTAATGAGTTAAAATACAACTTTAAATTTAATTCTGAGGGTTTTAGGAAGATGGTGGCGAAGGGAGAGCATTACCCCCATGTACCGCGTCACTGTGCAGGAGAATGACAAGTTAGAATGGCTAAAAGCTATCTTGTTAGGAATTTCCAGCAAAATTGGGGTGCTCCAAATCCTAGAGAAAGGATTTCCATTGCACGAGGATCAGCTACGGGGGCTCAAACGGGAGAGATTTGTCCGCATGGAGGGTCACACTGCTTATTCAGCAAATCGCCCTACGGCTAGAGTCTGCGGCGCGCGCTGGGAAACGAGGAGATAGCAACGCAAAGATACAGCGCTGCAGTTTCTGCGGGCTTCTGCCAGCTGTGCAATCACCATACTCAGTGCTGAATTCTGGGTTTGAGACGGGGGAAGGAAGCGGTCCAATTCGGTTCTCCACACCGGTCAGACCACAGAGGAAGCCAGCGGCGACCACCTTGGAGAGCTGACGTCACCATCCCTGTTTTCGAATGATCGAAGCTCATTCAGCCATAGAACAGGTAATTTCAGGCTGCCATTCGCCTGCGGCTCGCAGACAAATTACTCAGGCTCAGTGCTAAATAACCCGCGGAAACTGCTTCTTGGAGCCTGCTCCTATCAGAACATACACCGAGCACGGAGCGGCCGAATTCCGGCTCCCGGAACTGCTCTGGCCCAGGGATAAAGAACCCGCGGAAATGCTTCTCTGTCCAGGTCCTGCTGAATACTGTGGAGGTAAATACCAACAGAGCCTTCATAGGCAGTGGCAACAGGACTGAGACGGGGCTTGTGAGGGCCGGTCAGGACTCACCCGTTGCTTTGGTCACCCGGCAAAGGGAACGAAATGCTGCCATTCGCATGGGATACCAACATGGCAGAGATCTGATGTCATCAGAAAGCGGCGGAGGAGAGAACTTCATCGATACCAGCTGCGACAGAAACAGTTGGTCTCCTGGTAAAGAAAGTGAGTCACAAACACCCGAGTCTCTCTCACTTTGTCATCAAGCCAGAGGGGCAGAGCAGAGCCGCCGCCTGCGCCAGGAACAGGCCCAGCGGCCCGCCGGCGTGGTAGTCATGTAACCCCAACTGGAGTAGGGGCAGAGCAGAGCTGCCACCTGCGCCCGCATGGTAGGCAGACCTGCGACCGACCGGCAAAACAGGCTCAGCGGTCTGCGGGCGTGGTAGGAGGGGCAGGGCAGAGCCGCCGCCCGCGCCTGCAAGGTAGGCAGACCTGCGACAGACTGGCAGATCAGGCCCAGTGGCCTGCTGGTGGGGTACACACGTCACCCCAGTTGGAGTAGGGGCAGAGCAGAGCCTTCGCCCGCGCCCGGATCAGGCCCAGCAGCCCACCGGCGTGGTAGTCACGTAACCCCAATTGGAGTAGGGGCAGAGCAGAGCCGCCACCCGTGCCCGCATGGTAGGCAGACCTGCGACCGACCGGCAAAACAGGCCCAGCGGTCCGCGGGCGTGGTAGGAGCGGCAGGGCAGAGCCGCCACCCACGCCTGCAAGGTAGGCAGACCTGCGACAGACCGGCGGATCAGGCCCAGCAGCCTGCTGGCGTGGTACACACGTCACCCCAATTGGAGTAGGGGCAGAGTAGAGCCGCCACCCGCGCCCGAAAGGTGGGCAGACCTGCGACCGACCAGCGGAACAGGCCCAGTGGCCTGCCGCGACAGACACGTCACCCCAATTGGAGTAGGAGCAGAGCAGAGCCTTCGCCCGCGCCCGGAACAGGCCCAGTGGTCCGCGGGTGTGGTAGACAAGTCACACCAATTGGAGGAGGGGCAGGGCAGAGCCGCCGCCCGCGCCTGCAAGGTAGGCAGACCTGCGACAGACCGGCGGATCAGGCCCAGCAGCCTGCCAGCGTGGTACACACGTCACCCCAATTGGAGTAGGGGCAGAGCAGAGCCGCCGCTCGCGCCCGGAACAGGCCCAGCCACCTGCCAGCGTGGTAGTCACGACACCCCAATTGGAGTAGGGGCAGAGCAGAGCTGCCGCCCGTGCCCGCAAGGTAGGAAGACCTGCGACTGACCGGCGGAACAGGCCCAGCGGCCTGCGGGCGTGGTAGTCATGTCACCCCAATTGGAGTAGGGACAGAGCAGAGCCGCCGCCTGCGCCCACAAGGTAGGCAGACCTGCAACTGCCCGGCGGAACAGGCCCAGCGACCCGCTGGTGTGGTAGTCACGTCATGCCAATTGGAGTAGGGGCAGAGCAGAGCCGCCACCCGCGCCCGCAAGGTAGGCAGACCTGCGACCGACTGGCGGAACAGGCCTAGCGGCCTGCCAGCATGGCAGACACATCACCCCAATTGGAGTAGGGGTAGAGCAGAGCCGCCGCCCGTGCCCGCAAGGTAGGCAGACCTGTGACCGACCGGCAGAACAGGCCCAGCGGCCCGTGAGCGTGGTAGACAGATCACCCCAATTGGAGAAGGAGCACAGCCGCCGCCCGCCCCTGCAAGGGAGACTTTTCAACTATACAAGAGCAATATAAATATATAGGGGGAAAATTTCAATAACACAACAGTTTCACCAAGCAGAAAGAAACGCGAGCAGTATGAAAAGACAAGGAAAGAAAGGACCACAAGCGATGCAGGTCAACTCAACTTTAGAAGAGGTAATAGCTGCAGCAGATGGAATGTCAGATGAAGAATTCAGAATATACATGCTTCAGATGATCTGGAGTCTCAAGGAAGACATTAGACAGCAAAATCAGACAATGAAAGATCACTTCGACAATGAATTACATAAACAAATCCAAGAAGCAAAAGATCAGCTAAACAGGGAGATAGAGGTTATAAAACACAAACAGAAATCCTAGAAATGCAGGAAGCAATAAACCAACTTAAAAACTCACTCAATTGAGAATACTACCAGCAGAGTAGAACACTTAGAAGATAGAACATCAGACAATGAAGAAAAAGTATTTCAACTTGAAAAGAACATAGACAGCTCAGCAAGACTGTTAAGAAACCATGAGCAGAACATCCAAGAAATATGGGATAACATAAAGAGACCAAACTTAAGAGTCATTGGGATACAGGAAGGTATAGAGGTTCAAACCAAAGGAATGAGCAATCTATTCAATGAAATAATATGAGAAAATGTTCTAAGATCCTTGTACTTTTCAGCAACAAAAGTGAGTTACTGTTCAATTCTTTAGACTTTACTAACTTAAATATAGCTAGTAAATTTTCAAGAGTAATCATGATGTAAAACAAAATGGAGAGTATAAATTCCAAACCCATAGGGGAGAAGTGGAATAAAGAATATTGAAAACTTTTTTAGTGTACCAAAAATTGTTAAGGAAAAGGAGTCTTAGAAAAAAAAAGACAAAAAACAAATAAAAAACAAAGACGATAGAAACAAGTCCAAATACAGCAACAATCACAATACATGTCAGTGGACTAAACTTTAGAGTTAAAAGACAAGAGATTGTAAGACTAGAGTGAAAATCCAGCTATTTACAAGAGACTGACCCAATACAAAAGGAGGTGATAAAGTTAATAATAAAAGAACAGAAAAAAATATATACCAAGAAAATACAAAGAGAAAAGTAGGGTAACAATATTTGTTCAAGACAAAAAACAGAATTGAAAACATTATTAGGAACAAAGAGGCTTGCTAAAGAATAAAAAGAAGGACAAGTCACAAGAAAACTATAACCATTTAAAATGAACCTGGAGCCAATAAAATAGCTTCAAAATATACAAAGCAAAAATTTAAAGGCCCACAGAAGGAAGCTAACAAATCTCCCATCATTATAGTGCTTAATTTCAACACATTACTCTTTCTTATTGATCACTTTAATAGATGAAATATCAGAAAATATTTTAAAAATTGGAAAACAGAATTAACAAGTTTAATTCAGAGAAACTTCACATATCAACAATTACAAAATAAATATTATTTTCAAATATAGTAACATTTAATAAAAATCAATCAAGAACTAGGCCATAATACACCTGTCAAAAATTTCAAAGGACCCCTCCTCCCATGTACAGACCACTTGCTCTGATCACAATGTAATTAAATTAGAAGTGAACAATAAAAATAAATAAAAAGTTTTCATATACTTAGAATTTCTAAGGAATTCTTTGGTTAAAATGAAATCATAATGGAATTTAAAAATACTTAAGTAGTACTGAAATGATAACATATCAAACTTGTTGGTTACAATTAAATAAGCATTGAAAGACATGTAAGGTAAATCCAAAGAAAATATAAGAAGTCAGAAAAGGTAAGGGCAGGAATCAATAAAATACAAGGTAAAGATATAAAGGATATTAACAATCCCATAGATTTATTCTTTGAAAAAGACTAAGAAAATGAACAAAACTTTGATAAGACTAGTTTTTAAAGACAGGAGAAATATTTAGAATGAAAAGAGGTCATGGATATGAGATACACTAAGATTAAAAATAGAAGACTATAGACAACTTTTATTAATTGATTTGAATACTTTTAATAAAATGTATCAATTCTTAGGAATAATTAACTTTCTAAAATTGAAGAAGAAACAGAGATTTGATAGAACACTACAGAGAAATTAAATATAGGATTACAAATCTTCACATAAATAAAACACCAGGCCCAGATAGACATGTTCTAATAAACTTTAAATTATAGATAATTTTGAACTTACATAGATTTTTTCTTAAGAATAGA